GTAAGTCCATGACACACAGGCAAGCACCAACCGGGAGTCAGCATCGCAGGCTGGGACCTCTCCCTCGCTGGCCAAAATGTCAGACACAGCAAGGTCTGACAAGCCCAACCCGCGGCATGCGGTTGGAGCGACAAAAGGCCAGAAGCACGGGCACTCGGCTAGGACAAGCCCGCGCATACACTCCCCAAGGATCCTCAGCTCGAGCCGTCAGAGCCTAGGGCCCGAACCTGGAATCCCAGGAGCAGGAAGAGGAAGCGTAGCTCATTGAGCCGCTGAGAGGAGACCCTATACTGGGTGCCTGCAAGAAGCGGGCAATGCCAGACAGGGAGCCAGTGCCGCAGGCTGGGGAACACTCACCCGCTGGCTGAGGCATCAGACACAGCAAGGACCGACTGGCGGGCAAGTCGGCGAATGCGGCAACGCGCCAGGGAAACACAGCCTGCAGCCGCAGCAGCCTATATGCCAGACAGAGACTGGCTAAGGAGGCTGGAGAACCCACATGCGCTGGCTGACGTATCAGACACAGCAAGGACCGACTGGCGGGCAAGCCAGCAAATGCGGGCAACACGCCAGAGAACACAGCCGACAGCTGCAGTGCAGCCGCTGGAGAGGAGGACCAAGCCATGGACCCGACCTGCAGGTCGCCCCAGGGCCAAGTGGCTGCCGAGCGCTGTCCGTAGACAGGGGAGCCACAAGAGTGAACTCAAGGACGAGACACTTGAGTACAGCCAGCACCGCAGGCTGGAACACAACACACTCGCTGGCTGGCTTATCAGACACAGCGAGGCCAGGCTAACGTGTAACGGGTGAACCCCTGCAGAGAGCCTGGCATTGCAGGCTGGAGAACACTCACTCGCTGGCTGAGCATCAGACACAGCGAGGTTCAGCTGGCGTGTAAACCGGTGAAGCGCGGGCAATACGCCAGGGAAACACAGCCTGCAGCTGCAGCAGTAGCAGTAGCAGCTGCAGCAGTAGCAGCGGCAGCGGCGGCGGCTTAACCTGCGGTCAGAGCCGAGAAGCTGTCCCAATCAAGGAACGACAGGAGCCCTGCTGGCCGCGTGAACCGCGCACTGCGGGCAACACGCCAGACAGGACAGGCTACACTAGGCTGGAGAAGGCACTCGCCGCAGCAAGGTGCGACTGGCGTGTAAGCCGGCGAACGCGGGCAAAACGCCAGGGCAACACAGCCTACCTAGCCACTCGAACACAGCAGCTGGCTATCGCTATGACAGAAGCCCACGACATGTGGATGACGCCCCAGAAGGGAAGGCGGAGCTGCCAGCTGGAGAAGTCAAGTCACAACAGATCCCTGCCTGGCACTAGGCAGTGACACAGAGCCAGGGAGAGAGAGAGCCTGTCGCAGCAGCTCAGCCACTCAGAGGATGGCCGAGGTAGGATGAGGCCCAGGGCCTGTCCCAGGAGTAGAGCAGCAGACCTGGACCATCCACGACAGGGGAGGTGCTGGTGGCTCAGGCCACTGAGGGCCCAAGTGGCAACCCAAGGTTCATCACTAGGGCATAGCAACCACTCCGCGGTGTCTATAGACAGGGGGCCAGCAGAGTGGGCCTGATGAGTGAGACACTAACGGACAGACGGGAGGTGTCAGCTCACTGAGCACCTGCTCTGGCCAGGTGACCCGCGATACAGGGGCAACCCACTAGACAGAGAGCCAGCGCTGCACGCTGGAGAACGCCCACTCGCCGACTGACGTATCAGACACAGCAAGGTCCGACTGGCGTGTGAGTCGGCCAACCGCGGGCTATATGCCAGAGAAACACAGCAGCAGTACAGCTGCAAAGACGCAAGGCCAAGGCAGGGAAGCAACCTGTAGGGTCCATCCAACCACGGAGCCGCCCAGCCATCCGCAGATGGGGGGGTGGTGGTCTAGCCCACTGAAAGCCAAGTGGGGACTCAACCCGGAGGTCTGCCCCAGGGCTAAGCGGTCGCTAGCGCTGTCCGCAGACAGGGGAGCAGCAAGAGTGAACTTCGAAAACGAGACACCCATCCACAGCGTCGCAGGCCGGAGAACACCCACTCACCGGCCGAATAATCAGATACAGTGAGGCCCAGCTGGCGTGTCAACTGGCGAAGCGCAGGCAACACGCCAAGGGAACACAGCCAGGAGCTTCAGCAGCTGACATGCCAGAGAGAATCCGGCTAAAATAGGCTGGAGAACGCACACTCGCCGCAGCGAGGTCCAACTGACGTGTAAGCCGGCGAATGCAGTCAACATGCCAGGGGAAGACTGCCCGGAGCTGCAGTGCAGCCAGGGATGTGACTCACTGGGGGTGTCAGCTCACTGAGCAGGCCCTGCCGGCCACGTAACCCGCAACATTTGGGCAATGTGCCAGACAGAGAGCCAGCGCCGCAGGCCGGAGAACTGTCAACTTCTGGCCGAGCCGTCAGACGCAGCGTGGTCCGACTGGCGTATGAACTGGCAAAGCACGGGCAATGGGT